CAGTCTATTTGCTGAGCAACTAATCTGAGAAAAACACGACATCAGGACTGGAGGAAGACTTAACAACCTGCGATATGCAGGTGACAGCCATGGTAGCTGGAAGTGAAGAGGACTTTGAAGCACTTACTGATGAAGATTAAAGACTACAGTCTTGAATATGGATTACAACTCAACATAAAGAAAACAAAAATCCTCACAATTGGACCAAAAAGCAGCATCACGATAAAGAGAAAAGATTGAAGTTGTCAGCGATTTCATTTTACTTGGATCCACAATCAACAACCTTGGAAGCAGAATCAAGAAATCACATGTCATATTGCACTGGGCACATCTACTGCAAAAGACCCCTTTAATGTGTTGAAGAGCGAAGATGTCACTTTGAAGCCCAAGTGCGCTTAATCCAAACCATGGTATTTTCAGTCGTCTCATATGCATGTAAAAGCTGGACAATGAATAAGGAAGATCAAAGAGGAATTGATGCCTTTGAATTGTGGTGTTGGTGAAGAATACTCTAGATACCATGGACTTCCAGAAGAAAGAACAAATCTGTCTTGGAAGAATTTCAGCCAGGGTACTCCTTAGAAGCAAGAACGACCAGACTTTATCTAACATACTTTGGGCATGTGGTCAGAAGGGACTTTGTGTTTTTGGTTGTGCTTTGGGTGCAAATTTACATAGCAGACTTGTTTTTCATTCAACAATTCGTGCACATCTGGTTTCATGGCCCCGATTACTGTCCCCAGCTATAAGGAACTCTCCTCCACTTTCCTCACTGTGACCACCCCCTCCCATCCATGCATTCCTGTCTGTCCAGCCTTCCCTCTGTGTTAGTGCTGACCCTCTGGTATCTCATGGCTGCTTGATCCAAGGGGTGCATCTCTCCCTAGAGTAGGTGGGTGCATTGCCCTGGGGTAGGTGTTATACATGTAGGTCTTTATATTGTTGAGCTGAGAGTCAATTCATGTAAGTGAGTTCATTTCTAGGCTTGAAGGGTAACCTAGGGCCATAGTCTCAAGGATCCCACCAGTCTCTGTCCAGTCAGCAGTTCTGGTCATTTTTGTGTTTTTGAAATTTGTTCCACATTTTTCTTCCTGCTCAATCCAGGATCTCCAGATTTGATCCCTTTCCAAGTAGTTGGCATTGGTAGTGGGGCCCCATCTAGTTCTTCTGGTCTCAGGTTATGGAGGCTGAGGTCCTTGTGGTCCATCTTATCTTTGGGCTAATTGTTTCCAGATGACTCTGATTTTTTCACTCTTCTTTACTCCAGATGAGGGGAGATCAGTAGTTGAATCTTAGATGGCCACTTGAAAGCTTTTAAGACCCCAGTAGGTTGTAGAACAAATTATTTTTTAACGTGTGTGTGTGAGAGAGAGAGAGAGAGAGAGAGATTTGGGTGAAAGTTTACAGAGCAAATTCACTTTCCATACAGCAGCTCACATATACTTTGTCTCATGATGTTGACTATAATTTACCACAGTGCAACAGCTCCCCTCTCCCTTCCTCCCCATACTTACCTCTTCCCTGTGTCCTTCCCTCTATGCACTCCTGCCCCCTGAGCTATCTCCTTGTGCATACACAGCCCTTCTATTCTCCCATGATTGTTCTCTCCAAGGAGTGTATTTACCTAATGTAAATGTTCAGGAGTGGGTTCAATTCCAGACCTGAAGGGCAGCTAGGGACCATAGTCTCAGTGGTTCTATCAGACCAGCAAACCTGGTCCCTGGTTTGTTTTTTTTTTTAGTTTTTTTCCACATTTGTTTTTTCACTCTATCCAGGATCTCCTACATAGATCCCCCTTCCAGCGGTTGACAGTGGTAGCCATGCCATGCACCATCTAGTTCTTCTGGTCTCATAGTTGTTATAGGTTGCAGATCGGATGGTGTACCAGTCGCTGGGACTAATTGTTCCCGTGAATTTTGGTTTTCTTCATTATTCCTTGCTCTGGATGAGAAGAGACCCATGGTTGCATCTAGATGGCTGCTTTCAAGCTTTTAAGATCCCAGTTGCTACTCTCCAAAGTAGGATGTAGAACAGTGTTTTGTGTAGTATGATACAGAACAAAATTTTTATGGATTATGCATGCCAGTTGAGCATGATGTCCCCCAAGACTATGGTCCCAAGCCAGAAGGGACCATTTTATGGAGAAGTATGTCATGCGTGGTAAAGTTGAGCATCAGTTTCATTCTGTTGTACATAGGGTTGCTGTGAGTTGGAATCAGCTCATCAGTGCCTAACAGCAACATTTATAAGTAAGATAGTCCCTGGAAAGTACAAACTTAAGTACTCAGCTACTAAAGAAAAGGTTGTTGGTGGTTGTTTCCTTTTTTACTTATAAGTAAAACAGCAACCCCTCACCACAGTCCTACTCTCCAGAGAAAGCTACCCACAACTCTTCAGCTGTGTATTCTAGGATTTAACCTTTGTGTTTGTTTATATGTTGTCTCATGATTTCCCAGTATTGCGTATTTGTTGTCATCTTACTGCCATCATCCTTACTTCTACCCAGTTCCATTCACAGCATATTTGTAGCAAAATTATTGATTAGGTTGGCAGTCTATGTTGACATTGTGACTATGAAATTAATAAAGTTCACACAAACAAAATTATGCTTGCTATATTGAATAATGACTCGTTAAAAAAAAAAAGTTTTCAAGTTCTTAATTTTAAAAAATGTTAAGCATTTTTTTCCAATTACATCATCATCTCTGCCAGGTACCAGTGAAATGGTACCACCTGCAACCCCCCTCAGAATGTTACTTTCATTACCTGTGGTCTTATTCTAGACTGGATGGGTTGCTCCCTGTTTTCTTCACACCATCCTTTCTTTTGTAACTGTTTTCCTGGGTTTTGTATTTTGCTCTTTCGTGCTTTACATACTCATTTTTCTACGGCATGCTCATTAGCTTCCTAAAGTTCTTTTTTTGTTTGGACACCTTACTTTGATCCTGTTCCTCTACCACACACTTAGTTGCTGGATTGGGATTGAAGACTAAGATATTTTTCCTCGTACTATAGGCATTGCTTCATTACTTTAATTGTTAATGCTCTTACTGTTTCTTTCCCTTTGTTCGTGACCCATTTTTGCACTCTGGAAACTTATAGGATCTTTTTATTATTTCTGGTGTTCTAAAGTTTCATGATCTATTTTGCATGGTGCTGGTGTTTTATTTTTGATCCTAGTGAGTACTCTTGAGTTTTCAGTCTGGAGATTTATGTCCTTCAGTTCTACAAAAGAATGTTTATTCGTTTGGCAATTTCTTCTTCTCCATTTTCTTTCTTCTCTCAGTAATCATAGTCAAATGATAATACCCCTGGACAGTTCTCTTATTTACATGTTACATTCTCTACTTCTTTTCTCCTACTTTCTGGCAGATCTCAAGTTTCTCCCAGTTCTTACGTTGAGTTTCAGTGTGTCACCTTTTGAATTTCCATGGCACTTTATTACGCTGATTGTGTTCTAAAGCACCTGATTCTTATTTTATGAGTGAATCTCTTTTTATCCTTTAGAGGATAGTAGTAGGTGCCCTGGTGGTACAGTGGTTAAAGCACTGTACTGCAAACTAAAGTCAGCAGTTAGAACCTACTTGCTCTGGTAGCATAGTGCCTAAGGCACTTGACTGCTCACCAGAAGGCTGGCGGTTCAAGCCCACCAGCCACTCCTCGGAAGGAAGGTTGGGCAATCCTACTTCCGTAGTGATACTGCCTCGGAAACCCAAGGAGGGGTCGCTATGAGTCGGGACCGACTCAACGGCGAACAACAACAACAAGCTGCTCCACAGGAGAAAGATGTGGCAGTCAGCTTCCATGAAGATTTACAGCTTTGGAAACCCTACGGGGCAGTTCTCTTCTGTCTTATAGAATCACTTCAGTCAATGATAGTGGGTTTGATTTGGGGGGGTGAGTAGAGGATAATAAAGGTGCTTTTTCTAGGTTCCTTTTTTTATTTTTTGGTTGGTGGTTTCTGTCTTTCATATGGAGAGGCCTTACTTCAATTTCAGGACTTCAAACTAGTTCATTCCGGTTTGACCCCTACTGAGAATTTGTATTTCTACCTCAGATACACTGAATCAGAATATAGATTTTAACAAGATCCTCAGGTGATTCTTATATATACTTACTCCTATTTCTCATTAGCTGCATATCTTAGTTGCATGATTTTAATTGATACTTGGTTTATGTACTTACTTATTTTGATTTCTGTTGTATACCTCTCACTGCAGTATAGACTCACTTTCACACTTTTGCCTTTTTTTTTTGGTCGTCACCTAATACCATGTTTATAAGTCAAATATTGTAAAAGGAAATTCTTTTATAAAGTAACTTTAAGCTTGAAAGATATGATTAGTACAGAACCGAGCTGATAAATTAATGAGGATGAATACTAAAAATCAGATACCTAATTTAAGTATTTTAATAAAGCAGGTTTCTACTAAGCTTCAGATTGAATAGGTGCATTTGTATTTATCTGAATTCCAATCCCCTAACTAGACGGCTGGCGGTTCAAACCCACCAGCCACTCCTCGGAAGGAAGGTTGGGCAATCCTACTTCCGTAGTGATACTGCCTCGGAAACCCA